TCTGGAGCTAGGTTCACTTAACAGCGTTACATTTCGTTCATATTATAACTCAGAATGCATATAAATTTATATCATTAAAAGAATTATCTAATCTTTTCAACATGTTCTATTCAAATACTATAATAAATCTAAAATGATGTATAAAAGAAATTGAGCAAAGAAAACAAAAAAGAAAAGTTTTTCACAGACGATTCAGTATTTCTCATTCAATTAATTCAGTTCTCACTTCCCGACAAGGCAAAAAACAATACATAAAAGCTCAAAATACCTATAATAAAAATTACGAAGTAAATCTTAAACACTTATTTCCTCGAATAAACTCCAGAATGGATTAAACATAATTTAATTCGCAGTGATAAAAGAAGGCGTTACCTTTGTTGTGGCAAAGATCAGTTTCTCTAGATTGGCAACAAATCTGCTATTTTACCAAGTTTGAAATATAAACAAACATGTCCGCCATCGCAAAAATAATTAGGCTTGGCTGCACTTAAACATCTTTTAAATTGTTTATAACGCCACAAATATTGCATACAGATTTACTAAAGGAATAAAAACTTTAACCGGGAGATAAGAACAGCATAATTCTATCATTTTTAAAGCAAAAAAATTCACAACTTGCAAACATATAAGAGTAAAGAAACCGAGATCGCTGAGCCGGGTAACAGAGTGGGGATATATACGTATATACATATATTTATATACGTTTGGTGCTGCAACCAAAATACATGATATAGCAATCCTATATACAAAATTTCAACGTTCTGAGGAAACTCATTTTTGAGTTATGCGAGATACGTACGTACGTACAACGTCGCGAAAAATTCTCTTCAGAATTCATTTTAAACAGTTTTGTAATTTTGGGGAGGGGGGGGAATAATCTTTTATTTTGTCTTTACGTACTGATGTCACGGAAAAACATCGTTAAATTGCATTCGATGGCGGTCAAAATGGATATTTTCTTTGAAGTATGATGGCTGAAACTTTTCGTGATTACAATACTTCCTTTTTACTTCGTACAAGGAAGTAAAAAAGGCAAAACTAAGGAAATAAGACATAATCATTTGAATAAATCATTGATTAAGAATATTTTATTCAATATGACTTTGCTCTGACGCCCATAGAGGAAAACTATTGTAGAGTCGTGAATCTTTAAATTTACAAATAAAATAAACATCCTTTAAATTTGAAAAATAAAAAGTAAGTACAGAGAATCGCTAGTGCTTTTGGCTGCATGCAATAGGAGTCTGAGATAGTTGATGTAAGTATATTGTATAAATACGATGCCGTATCTTTAAGAATAATGTAAAGGGTAGGGGTTTTATCACGGGGAAAAAAGGAAAAATTGGAAGGCCGGTAGCGTGGAGGAGAAGAGAAGGTTCCTTAGCGCTTAGCTGGAGACTTAAAACATATTGATAATAAAAAATTATGTATAGAGAAATTAGTTCTTTTAAAGAAGACCTATAAAGGGATATCTTGATCTAAAAACCAAGCCTTGAATATTTTATATGCATGAAATTTTTTTTTTTTGCTTTTTATTCATAATTACCGTAAATTTTTCAAAATTCAGTTTTGGGGTTTTATTTTTATTTATTACGCGGCGCCTACGCCAATCCATCTACACAGCGAAAGAAATCTCTGGCGCATAAGATACGTATCTTCGGCGCTTGCACCGGGAGTCATGATAATATCATATGACGGGATAGATTTGATAATTCTATAGTAATAATATAAAAAAAAATGTAGTTATCATACTCGTTTTAAAGTATTTATTTTAAATATAAAAACTTATTTTTCTTTAATTAAAATCCGATTAAATAGCTGCTTAACTGCAACATAAAACACAATTTTCAATAACAAAAAATTATGGGGCAAACATTTAAACATGTTGTTGTAAATTTAAAAAATAAGTTTTTTACCTGGCGAGGCGTACCCGATAAAATGCAATTCAAAATTCTGCATAGCAAACCTTTCTATTTATTGGAACAACAAATTTGATTTTTATAAACGATTAACCGGAACTGATTTTTTTTTTAAACCCATTGCTATTTAAAACAAATTGACAAGAGGTTAAATGCTGGCTACTCAATTTTTTTATGATGAAATGATACCGTTTTGAGAACTTGTGGCGTTCCTCCCTTCTATCTCCTAACTGGAGGAACCTAGCGAACAGCTAAGCGAATAATCGCTTAAGTGCAGTAATAGAAACGTAAAGCTCAAAGAAGGGTTAATTATTTTACCCTTTATTGCTCAAAATAATGAATAACAGTCGGTCCCTTTATCAGGGCGTACAGCAAAGCCGCCACTTGCGCTTAACTCAAAAATGAAAGAAATAAGAACTTAACTAATGCTTAACTAAAGAGATGTAGACGAAGCTAACATAAATCCAACTAGTTGGCCCCTAAATATCGAATTAGATAGCGAAGAGCTATAACAGCTAGTAACAGCTTAGAGAGACGTCGCCAAAAGGCAAACGCGTGTTAGTCAGAAGCTCTGTTGTTCTCTCTCGAAGTCAGTGGACTTAATACTACTCTTACTCATTTTCATTAAACGCGATTCTAAAAACACATTCTGGTAGGAAATTGTAAGCTTAAATTAGGAGAGATAGGAAAGGCTTTAACTGTTAAAAACTTAGTATAAATCTTACAAACTAAAACCCGGGAGATGCATATAGAGATACGCTTTAAAAAGAATAACTATAATTAGTCCGTGTTCAATAGTTTATTCTGGTTCCATGCTCAAACGTTTGTTCGCTACGCTTGTAAACACAAAAAACTAGTGTAGTATATTAATTTAGAAGTCAAACAACAAAAATCAGCGTTATATTTTCAAATTTCACAGGACTAGTTTCAATGGTTTTACTGAACCATCATCTTCAGCTGCAAAAGCACAAATGAAAGAGATAAGATATAATCATACGATAAGAAAGCCTCGACAGGATATAAGCTACTGGCGCCATCTGTTGATGAAACCAGAACTAAAACATAATTTCTTTAAAGGCTGAAGGCAAAGATGGATTGGAATTAGGGTCGTTAACTAGAACAGAAAGATTTTTTTGAATGTGAAATGCCTCTAGAAAATACAGTTCACCAATGGAAGATGTTTTTTTGAATAATTTTGGCAGCAGAAAAATTGAAAGTGTGATTTTCGGACCAATAATGTTGGGCAACGGAAGACTTCTGTGTTTTCGTTTTTCTAACATATGCCTCATGTTCCTTGACGCGAAATTTTAAGGCTCTCTTAGTTTGGCCAATGTAAATTAAACCACACTGGCAAGGAATCCTGTAAATACCCCAGGAATTCATATCCGGAGTGGGGTCTTTAAGTGTGGAACTCGGAATTTTATTGATGGGAGACCGAAAAGTTAAATTTCTAATTGATATTATATTTTATATCTAATTGATGGAAAGAAGGGAATGACAACAGAATTTTTATAATCTCCTAAAACAAGAGTGTGCCTTTTGGTGTGTTGAGATGAGAATTTTTTAACTGCTTGATTAATAATGTTGGATGAAAAGCCCCTGTCAATAGCTATTGCTTTTAAATAATTTAGTTCTTTATCAAGGGATAGTTTGGAGGAGCAAACTTGAAGAGCACGAAAAACAAATTTGAAAATATAACGCTGATTTTTGTTATTTGACTTCTAAATTAATATTTGTTCGGCGCGTTATTGTATCTTAATTAGTATAGTGTAATTTTTCTTCAGATCATGCCCACCCCACTTTCAGAGCATTGGATTTTTCAAACCTTTCAAAATATTCATTATTTAAGTTTAGATTTTAAAGAACATGATCACACCGAAGTGTTTCAACTCTCTTTGTTTTTTTTTTCAGCTACAATTAATAAAACAATACATTAATAAAAATTATGATTATTTAACAATACATTAATAAAATTATAAATAGCCTATCGCTAACTAATTGACTACCTTTTAAAGATTAAATAGCAGCTGCCATTTGAATTTTGTTTCCAAAATAAAAATGATGGGGAATTTTTCGGTGAGAAATCTTCAGCAAAATTACCAGTGGTTCGAAAACAGACAGTAATATTTAAGGACCTCCTATGGAAAAATGTCGTTTTGCTATACTTTTGAAAACTTACAATTCTTTAAATTAGTCAAGTCATATTTCAAATAGAATATTAAGTCGTTATTTCAGTCAGAATATGATAGAAATTACTTCTCCGATGGCTAAATTAACTTGTTAAACGCTCAGTTAACATTTTATAACAACGAATTTCATAAGAGAAAGCTTTAGTTGAAATTTGTCGTGGAAAACTGAACTAGCACTGAATTGCTTCTTTTATAACAAATGGAATTTTTTACTTCATAAGATATATTCAAAGTACTTTTTTATCTTTTCGAAAGTCCTACAATACAATCAACTAAAACAATGCTCCTCATAATCCGAAGGGTTTCAAAATACGTAACCCGAAAAAGCAAAAATAGAAATGATCCGTTTCGAACAATTGCTTCTGTTTTATTTTCCTCGAAGAATTTAGAAAGTGAGTATTTTGTAACGATTATTAGCAAAAAAAGTGAAAACTCGATTTTTTTTTCATCATTGCTTTACCAATCATAACTCTATTCATTTGTAATTGATTCCGATATGAAACAACTTCAAGAAATGCCCCCTTTCCTGTATGCTTGGGTAACTTTCATTTCTTTTTTTGAAATTTCATTGGCGCAAATTAGGCTCTTGGTGTTACACCCAAACCTATTCGACCTTAAACTTGGCTTTTTTTGACACATATTTCTGTCCAAAGACACGTAATGATTAAAATTTAAGTCGAACATATCTAACAAAAATAAAATACTGTTTCGAGATATACAATGCTTTATCTTTTTTTTTTTTCGTCTTCCTGGAATTTCTGCAACTTCATTGACAAGTTTCGTTCGTGTTAAGAATGTTATTATTATTATATGTGACCTTTTTTATGTTAGTTTTAGTTTTTGCTTGAAATAGTATTTGCTGCAATTTAGCCAAATAAAGATACGTCACCACAGTGTATATAAAAGGCGTACGCTACGCAGTTATCCATCAAAAATATCTTATTCGCCTTCTGCACTAGTAAAAGGATCATTTTCAAAATGTTCAGCAAGGTAAGATTTCTTTGCAAAATTCAAGAATTTTCTCTTAGATTCTGATCTTAATATTACGAAAAAATCTTTTTAAGAAAAATTCGCTTAACCGAAATCCGTCTTAACCGAAACGGGGAGAATAAAATAATGAATCAGTAAATAAACAACTAAAGTCATCTCCAGATGTTTTCAAATTAACGTTTTTTTCACTGTTAATTCCAGCTACTTTTAAATCAACGTTTTTACTATACTTAAACGTTCTTTTCGGCACTGCATCAGCTTTTAGAAATGCATATTTTTTAAAGTCAGTAACTTATCTGTGTACATTATATACAAGTAAATGAACTCTAAAATCCCTGTTCAAAAGATTTTGAAAAGACACACATCCAGTGGAGGTTGCTTAACGCTGGAAGCACTGAAAAGGAGTGAAATTAAAAAACCGTAAGTGGAACAGCAAAGATTTCAAGAAATTACAATTAAAAATTTTACTGTCCGTCCTTATGTGATTTTGGGGATTCTGTGAAGACTTTCTTCAGACCTGTAATACTAATGATACTACGAAAAAGAATTACCGATATTAGAAACTTGACAGTTAAACGTGGGAAAGTATGATACTCTTTTTTTAAAATTTCAGATTATTAAATTGCCTTTCTTTTGTAAATGCATTTGCTATTAAACTACTGTGATATTAATTCTCATCTTTCGTTTTCTTATTTTATCTGTGGGATACAGACTTGGGTTAAAATGATAATTTAAAAAAAAACTACTTCTTTTAACTATAGCTGATTAATATTTCTTGCATGCCTTTTAAATCCAAGTGAAGTATTTGAGAAAGGAATTCTGAAATTTATTTTACCCAAAATAGATTTAAAAGTAAAGTTGTTGTGCAGAATAACTTCCAGAAATTTGATCCTTTTCTAATTTTCCATGAAAGTGAACCAGTACAGGAATTACCCGAAATGGCTTCAACTCCCACCAGCAGTTCGGATAAATAAAGCCATATTATGCAATTTCTTTGTTTGTTTGTCTGCTGCTGTTACTTTTTGAGATGTGCAGAAAATGTGAAATGGCTCGAAGAAAACTTAAATCGCATATTGTTAAATAAAATGAATGAGGTTAATGAGGAGGTAAATTCTGAAATCCAGTATTTACTTTATAAATTAACAGTCGCTATGTAAAAGTTGTGTGTGTCTTTCAATCGATATAATAAAGCAATCAAGCATTTAGCTACTACATCGATGAGCTCGGGTTCAATCTCCGGATAAGTTACAACTATTTCGGACAATACCGTGTTTACAAAATTATAAATCTTAAAATTTATTGGCTCTAACGTTCTGTAGAGAAACTGGACTTAAGCAAAACAAATGCGATATAAGAATATATCTCTGGGGAAGTTTTCGGTCTAATAAATGATGGAATTGGACAAAATTGTAATCTCGCTAACTGTCTTCAAGGCCTATGAATAAAAGAAACGTGCATCATCTGAACTATTCATGAGACCAGTCTAGATGGGGGATTAGCAACAAAAGCAGTATAAATCGTCAAATTTACGATTGACAAGTATGCTGTCAAGTATGTTTTATAAACGACTGCAATTAAATTAAAGAAAATATATTTTAAGAAATACATCAGAAATGAGATCCTATGGATGGTCTTATTTTCTTTTTTCTCACGTAGCGTGGATATCAATCATGCTTAAAATTTTCTAACTTTACCCACCGTGTTTCGCAATGAATAACAAAAAATAATGAACAGAACGTCATTGGTATAAAATACTGCTCACCTAGAAGAATTTTAATTTATGCTGTTAAGAAAATTGATGCATAATTTTCTTGCATTTGAGTACTTTGCCGTTTAGTCTTTATTAATTTTTAATTCAAGAGTAAAATATTAGGATATTTCTATTTTTTGCAGTACTAAATTCAGATAACTATTAAAATTTTCGTGTATTATATGAAAGGCTTAATATTTGAAATTATGATATTGTACTGATAACTTACACATTATAATCAGTTTCAGCATCTTTTCAAAAACTCCCAAAGCTCATAAGAAGAAGCAATATGAAATTTTGCAGGGGGTCACATGAATACTTTTTTCAAATTTTTCTTTTTCGTCCTCTTCCTTCTTAAGCCATTGTCCAGAGCGATCAAACCTATCGATCATTTAGCTCTCTCATCAATGAGAACTTTGCTCACAAAAGACGGAATTGGCACACATAAACAACCAAGTCTTAAACGGAAGTTCAACTCATATCCTAGGGTTTGAACTAGAAGTGAGTCTCCAGTAATTACTAGACAGTTCAGCGTAAAAGATATAAGAATATACTAACAACGGAAAGTTCTGCAGCATAAAATTCTCGTTTGAAATCAAGAATATCGAAACTACAAAATCTAATAATTTGAAATTTCTTGATAACTATCTAATTATTTGCACAATGAACATGCGCTTTCCAGTAATATAATCACTTTTGAAAATTTTGAACCATAAACTTTTAATGTAAATTTCAGATTTCGAGGGTCACTATATAATAGATCCCACTCCCAACTATGAAGTCCAAAAATATACACAGAAAATCATATTGCACAGTAACATTTTTGGGTTATTAATGATTAATGTGTAATAAAACTTACTTTTTTTATTGCAGCTCGCCATCCTCTGTGCTATTGTTTGTGGAGTTCTAGCTGATGGATACATAGGAGTAAGTTTTATATTAGATGGAGGTATATAATAATTGTAAACACATATGGCGATAATTACTTTAAAAGTTGTCCACTTATTAAAACATAAACAGATGTAAATAGAAATACTGAATGCTCCTCTAATTAAGAACTATGTTAAGAGAAACCTGAAATGTATTAAAATCCCTGTAAGCTCTGTCAATATTTCAAATTTCATGTAGCATAATCATGCAAATAAATAAAAGTAATTTAATTAATAATAATTTTTAAAAGATATCATAAACTGTAAAATCAGAAGATTTTCTTTATTGATAAAGTACAGTAATATAACAACATGGATTAGTTTGCTTCTAGGTATATTATTTCTTTCAGAGAATGACAGGAAAGTTTTATCATTTCAACCGAACCTCAAGAATGGAAAAAATTTAAATTACGAGACATCTTTACAAATTTTAACAAATTTTCATATTTGCAGTTTGTAGACATGATTTAATATTTAAATTTTGTAGCATATCTCCTTTATCACTCGAAGAGCATAAATTCGATCAAAATTGTGCATAGAATTTTGAAATATATTTTGAGATTCTCTAATCAAAACAGTAATATTGTCGAAATTAACTGAAAAGAAGTGTTAATGTCCTCTTGATCCACTGAGACAACAGATTGTAGATAATATTATGATTTACTTCTGATTTACAGCATTAAATGTTGTTTTAAGGTTAATCTTCGGATTATGGTAACTTGGCGATTTTTTGGCGAAAATTTGGTGACCAACCCTGCTACAGCAAGCTGCTTTTTTTTTTTTTTTTTTTTTTTTTTTTTTTTTTGGGACAGCATTTTTTTTTTTTTTTTTTTTTTTTTTTTTTTTTACGAAGTAAAGACATTTTTTTTTCTTTTTAAAATCAACATTTTTTTTTCCGACAATCTGCTAGCCGAATTACACTTATGCTAGAACTTTTATGGAACAAAAGTGCTTAATCATGACGAAGATTAGGTGCGAAATTGGGAGAAAGTGCAGAATCGCCCACTGCTTGCCGCGTTTTTAAGAATTGCACATACACGGTATCCATGTACACGTCGACCTATTTTCACTTAAAAAAAAAATCCCAGAATTGCACAAAAATGGCATTGCGCACACTCTTGACTTTATCCATGTACACTGCTCAAGTCCTAGCTAGTAACCTTTATCGCCTTACCAAAATGTCACCAAACTACGTACCTGTTACCATATTCCAAAGATTAGCCTGTTTAAATTTGAGTAAATGCTTTAATTGACGTACCAAAACATAAAATACTGCCTATTTGACACTTGAAAATATTACAGCATAAATTTAATATTATTTTAAAACTAAATTACATCCAACTAGTATTGAATTTATCAAGAAAAACCAATTAACCAGTTGACTGCATAATTCCATAGATAACATTGAAAAACAAATAAATCCGTAAAACAACCTTGATGTTCATTCAGGATTCCTACGTAGAATTAGAAGATATTAATATAAGGCATACATTAATCAAGAGGGCATTGCTTTTAACATTATCTGCTCAAAAAAAACTATTGACAGTCATGTATCAATTATTATCGCTTTCTCAGTTTCACACTTCTAGGGCTTTCAGTTTTTCTTTTAAAATTTGATCATATCACAATTCAAATTTCAGCACCATCATGCTCCTCAACCGTATTCTTTTGGCTACTCTGTGAAAGACCATCATGGAGAGCAACATCGCCATGAAAGTGGTGACGGCGGGCATGCAGTGAAGGGTAGTTATGGATTTACAGATGACAGAGGTGTACATCGTCAAGTAGACTACGTAGCTGACCATGGTGGATTTAGAGCACAGGTCAAGACTAATGAACCTGGCACTGCTAAACAGGATCCAGCAGCTGTGAAGATGATCTCATCGGCACATCCTTATTTTGGAGCACATGGAGTTTATGGTGGACATGGAGCCGGCGGATATGGAGGACACGGTTACGGTGGTGGATATGGTGGTCATGGATATGGTGCAGGTTATGATGGTGGATATGCAGGACATGGATATGGTCTTGGTTGGGCTGGACATGGTGGCTATGGTTATGGAGGACATGGTCTCTGGCATTAAATATATTACGGTAAGAAAATATTTTAAATAAGTTTACTTAAAGGAACTATGGGGCCTGTGTAATTAGCTCCTTTAAATTTATAATTTAAGATATAATCTGTTATACATAATAACTAAATTGTGTGCAGTGGACTATGTGCCATGTGCTTTTATGTGTATTACTACATGCATTTAGAATTATTAAATAATTATTATTGGAGTTGAACTTATGCTCCAGTAGGGCCATTTAGAATATATCTTACTATTATTATAAGGAAAAGAGTTCATAACTGGAAGTTTAAATCAATTGCGTATAAATTTGACTTTGCTACCCTTCTATAGAAAATAGTCTTCTCATTAAGTCATACCATCTCAAAAGGGCTGCGGACAAACTGCGAATTGTTGTCAAATCCTGCTGCTCTTTAGAAGAAAAAGTTGATAAACGTTTTCAATATTTTCAGTAAGGTAGACACCAGTATGATTTTACTTGATAAGATAAATAATACAGGCATTTCGAAATAATACATAAGTTTTCCCAAGCTACACGTGCAAAAATGCAAAAGTATTGCAGCGATTTAATTAACATATTTCTGAAGCTTTATATAAACATTTTCAATATTTTCAGTACGGTAGACACCAGTATGATTTTACTTGATCAGATAAATAATACAGGCATTTCGAAATAATACATAAGCTTTCCCAAGCTACAAGTGCAAAAATGCAAAAGTATTGCGGCGATTTCATTAACATATTTCGTAAGCTTTATATATGCAATGAAGCAAGTACATGTATGGTTAGCTATAAAAGTTCCCAAAATGTAATATATGCAGCACGTGTTGATATTTAAAGTATATAAAGAATGTGATGAATAAAGAATGCACTTTTCTTATATTTCTCATATTATATTACGTTTACGCCATATAAACAGCGAGAAAATCCGTATATGATTTAGTAACGGATACCTAAACAACGTTTAAAACAAACAATTTGGCATAACATTTCGATGCTTTCTTGAAATTGCATTATTATTAAAAGAACGCATTAGAAATGTTTACGATTAAAATATCTAAGGCAAAATTAAACTTTCTCGCCTAGAAATAGTGTAACTTTTTAGCCTGAAAGATTAATTTTCTTTCCCACTTTCACTAAAAAATGAGAATGCTAAATAAATACAATAGAAATAAAGGTAATTGAAATTTATTGTGCCTCCATTTGACGAAAGAAACTAAAACGAACGAATACAAACTGATTTCCGCTTTTCGCAGAAATAAGAAACAATACTAAATTCAATTTTTGCAGTACATAAGTTTAAATTCTGTCTTAGTGTTTCGGTAACTTTTAGGAATTATTTTCTTATTATTGAAGACAAAAAGCAAATTCAACAACTCGGGGGATTACCCCTATCTCGGATGCAAAGAAAGGGTCTTTCTCCTCCTTGAAATTTAGAATTTTTTTTTTCTAAATGTCTTCTAATTTACATATTCTCGAGAGGTAGACGAAATAGTAGTAGAAAGAGCATATTTTTAATATAAGAAAAACATGTTTATTAAAATACGCTTTATAAACCGAATCATTTTTTGCTACTTCAATTAATTAATTATCAAGTTACGTTTTATTTAAATTTCCATTGTATAAATATATCATGAATAGAATCTTAACTTCTTATTTTATATTTTTCTGTGGAATAAGTTAGAACTAAAGCAAAAGACTTTTCGGCGCAAAAACATTTACGAAAGTCTTTTCAAAATTCCGATAATTTAATTTGCATATTAACTTTATTTTTAAGTCTCATTTTGTTTAAAAAAGTGTTGTAAAAATTAAGAATAGCTGTTTGAAAGTAATACCCATCATTTTGGTATGCACTAAAATGACCACTATTGGCCATTAAAATGATGGTTTTTACTAATTGTAAGTAATTGAAACAAAAGTTATGAATTGTTTTCAAAAAGCTTGAAGTGAATGCAAATTTTGAGTACCTTTTATACTTTATATTACACGGATTATTATTTTATAAATATGACATTATCAGGTTCAATGTTTCTTCTAATCTTTTTCGGGAACATACAAGGACCTGACTAGGAACAGAGAGCTTACTAAAGCTATGTTCACTAATTGTAGTAAGTAGACAGGATACAGACGAAGGGTATACAAAACCCTTTATTTTTCTTTATATACAATGACTTCCGTACTTCGGAATACAATGACCCTCCACTCGGGGTCTAACGTAAAAGGTATAAAAATATAAAACTAAACTCTAATTTAACTTTAGAATAATACACGTGAAGATTGGCCTTATAATAACAGGAAGCGTATGTAGCACAGAGACTGTGAACACTACAATACGTTTAATTTATCAAGAGGATTAAAACCTCTGGCCTGGAAGGCAAATAGCAACTGCGTAACTTCTAAGGTAAGCGGCCTGCTTCGAACTCACTGCTTCCTCTCTTTCGCTTGGCAAAAAGGCCACACTTAAATACTTGGCGTTCGCCAGACAAACTTTGCATAAAATCCTTAACGCTTATAATTCTGGCCGGAAGTAGAAAATAAGAAGTGATAGTAAAGATTTAAAATAAAATAAACGTTAGTAAAACTTAAGATCCTTACATACTTCCCGCCAGAGTTAATTAATTAGTTTGAAACTGAGGTCTAAAACGACCTTGTTGAAAACTTTTAGCTCTAGAAACTAACGCGAGGCCAACCTTTTACAAACATAACTTCGCTAGAAAAGAAAACTAGAAAATTTAAAAGAAAAAGAAATTTGTTACAATAGCAGCTCCCGGATATACAACAATCTTTTTTTTTTTCATCTGTACTGCATCTAAAACAGGAGCTTTATTCAATTCTGGTTCCTTCCAGAGATCTGGAAGGAAAACTAGTTTAATGAAATGTTACAGAATGACATTGCAAATAACATATAGAATATACTTCTCTTAACATTCTTATTTCATTCATGACTATTTTAATTATCTCTCCCCGTGCTCTCTGACATGTGTTTGTAAAAGAACACCAAACACGAATGTGTTTCTGTCTACGTGTTCCAACACTTCCTCCTACAATCAAAACACTAACGTGTTAAAATTCAACATAACGAGACCTCTTAACACACCCTACTTTCAACTCTAAACCCTGAGGTACTATTCTAAAAGTGGCTAACTCTAAAGTGTAGCGTCAGAGAGCCTAACTACATCATTCAACCTTTACCACATATTCGCCCATGATTTTAATCTTTACAGTCACACGAATAACAAATTTTTAACATTACTTTCACTTTTACCATATCACGGTATTTCTTAACATTCAAAATAACAGTTCACATGTATATAAGAACATATCAACATGCCGTTAATTTTACACATTTGAAAACATACATTAGTAGTACATTGTTAACTTCTATTCTTTTCAAAGCAAGTGCCAATTCTTTCTACATTGAAATAATACTACATTTCAAAAAGTCTTTCAGACTAAAACTTCTTTCTTGCTAGAATGTTTTAAATAAAATTTATACAATAACTTTTTACAATATTTAAGTCTTTTACACAACGCTATTATACATCAACTTTAGTTTTACGCGCGAGTAATTGAAAAGTAATTGAAAAACATAATAAGAAAATCGGTCACACAACTCATTTCTCGCCCTTTTGGCGATAAAGGTAGACCTCGCATGAGGTAAAACTTCTTGAAATCTGCCACTTGCAGTAAGAATGAAAGATTAACTTAAGTTTGCAAAGTAACATAAAATTTTACTTATCTTTGTAATATTCGGACATCCTTTTCTGGGCCCAGTCTTTAAAGGTACTGCAGACCGTAGCTTGGTTGATCCTCCTTCTTGTACGGGCTCGCCCTTCAGTGCTTTCCTCTGGAAGCTTCCGTTTTTCACCAGTACGGCCACCCTTGAACACCTTCCTTTTCCCCTCTGCTTGTGGTCTTGGCCGTTTGAAGGCAGCTGGTCTTGGCGGAACCGGGAAACTTCTGTCGTGATCCTGCTTGGACCTCGTTGTTGGCCGTTCAAATTTTTCTTGTACTTTTTCCTCCGCCGCTGATGGCCCTTCCGCAGTTCGGCGACTTTTGCTGCGGAGAGTTCTGTCGGATGAGTCAATCTTCCGTTTCACAGCCGGGTTATAGTTGCCGTCCTTTCTCCTGGTCCTCTTCACATACGTCGTCCTTCTCCCTTCTTCATTCTGGGGGTGTTCGTGAACTCTGTTTTTCTGGACGGTGGAACGGCTTCTTTTCTTTTTACCTTCAATTTTTCCGCGGGGCAATTTTCTTTTCACTTGCTTCTGTCTCTCATTGGCTTGCCCTTGTACTTGTCGTTTTCCCACCTCTGGAACTTGTACCTGCGGTGTCTGCCCGTGCCGGATCCTGCAAAAGATCTGAAAAGATTTGCATTTTATTACGATCGATAGTAGGGCTTTAATTTGATCAATGTTTGCGGAACAGGTTTCACCATTTCTGGCCTTTAACACTACAACAGCGTGAGTTATTTTTTCTATAACATATGGTCCTTCAAATCGTGGAAAAAATTTGGCAGTTTTATCTTCTGGTGCTGAAGAAAGTGAATGCTTAATTTTTAAAACTTCATCCCCTACTTTATAAGTTACTCCCGTCGTCGTTTCAAGTCATAATACAATTTCTGTTTTCTTTGTGCTACTTCCGTATTCTTTTTTGCTTCTTTTAATTAGTTTTTCTATATCACCCATTTTAAATTCTGGGGCTCTTTGTTGCACATAAAATAATTTATCTAACGGTGTTTATAATCTTTCTGCCTAGAAATAACTCAGCAGGAGTTTTGAGTTTTGCCCGTTGTATCATGTTTTGCGGTCCTAAGGGCGAAAGCAAATTCATTGACATAGTTATCCCAGCTTTTATGAAAATTTCTAACATAACTACGGATAATTTTCACTATATTTCTGTTGACCCGTTCCGCTATATTTGATTGCGGCCGATACGGGACCATTTTTAAATGACGTATGCCCACATGGCACATGTCTTCAAATATATTACTTACAAATTGAGGACCATTATCCGATATAA